ATAGCTTATCTCTTTAATAAACGATACATCTGTTAATAAAATACATGTATTTGTATAAAGTACATGTTAAATTATTTGAAAGAATAAATAACAAACCTTTAATAGAAGTGGTTTTCAGTGATTTTTGTGCATGTGTGTGTGTGCTGGGGGAATTTCTCAATGCCTTTTGTAATAACATTTGAATTTCTTTCATGGAACATTTATTTATGTATCACTTGTTTGATTAGAAATATATAAATCTATAACAATTATAAAAAAAAGTCTGAAAGGCTCACCCATTATTTGTGAATCTAAGAATTATAGATTAATTTTACTTTATCCTTCCCTTATTTTTCATATTTCTAAAATGAACATGTATTATTTTATAGTAAAAAATAAAAATTAATTTAACTTATTTTTTTTAAGATTATTTATTTATTTATTTGACAGACAGAGATCACAAGTAGGCAGAGAAGCAGGCAGAAAGAGAGGAGGAAGCAGACTCCCTGCTGAGCAAAGAGCCCGATGGGACCAGGACCCTGGGATCATAACCCGAGCTGAAGGCTGAGGCTTTAACCCACTGAGCCAACCAGATGCCCCTTAATTTAATTTTAATAGAAAAGAATGTCTTTTTTTCTTCTTCATTGTCTCATTTGTTTACCTTACTAGAAAATAAATACGAAGGCAGTTCTGTACTACTAGAAATTAATACAGTTCTCTGTTGAATCATGGCCGACAGGTTTAAAATGATCTCTGATTCATTATAAAATATCAAGTAATCCTTACGTATCACTAGAACAACAAAAATAATATTCTATATGTATCTTTTAAATTTTATTCAGGGTCAGGGTATGAAGAATTATTCGAATATTATTCGTCAAGAGAATATTTTTCAGGAAACCAGTGATGCCTGATTTTATGTTGCTATCAGCCAATGAAACAAATTTTCTATAATCATGAATAAGACTTCAGGAAATATCCACCATAGTGTGTGTCCATGTTCTTTACAATAACTTGTAGAGTCAAATAGGAAATTTTTCAGTAGGAAATAATACAAAATTCTTTGGTATTATTAATTATAATAATAACCTATTGTTTTGAATGAAACCTGTTAGTTTCTCTCCTCTGTGCCAAAACCATATCCACCTGATGAACTTCCATTAGGCTAAATGAGATAATCGTGTCTTAGGCTGTTCCAGATGGCATTTTTCACACTAATGCAAAGTCACAAATAAAATTTTAATTTGCTTCTTAAGAGGCAGATCTGTTCAAATAAATGAACAGAAAAAATAAATGTTTGCACCTTAGGTAAGTATCAGGAACAAACTCCAGAGATACTGTTTCTAAGTTTATTCAGTGACAGTGAGCCAGAACATACTACAAAATGAGAAGAACCAAAGGTTTTTTGTTGGTTTGTTTTTGTTTGTTTTTACCATCTCATTACATTGTTATCCTTTACTTACAAGAAAACACAGGTCGTTTCGACACACCAAATATAAACACAGCATTATAAGTATGCTTCTAGAAGGAGTGTGTTAAATTTTTAGCAATGTTTACTTTTTGGTCTCTAATTTTACTTAGGTAAAATACTTAATGGTGTTTGTCTTATGCATCAGCTGGGCTGCATCAGGTTTTAATGAGTAATCATATGTTTCAGGGAGCATGATCTGTGATATAGTCTATGTAATATAAATACTGTGTACCAAAACAAGTTTAATTTAACACTGACCTGTATGGGAAATTTTTTTTTTTTTAATAGTACTTGCAATGACGGGTTTTACCCCCTCCTTTCGGCATGTTAAAACAACTGTCAACATGCGAGGCATAAAATACTTCTAATTTCCTCTTTGTTTCCTAAAGTACCCTTTATCTTTTTTTGTCCTTAGTCACGTTTCCAGACTGCAGTTAATTGTTCTTTGTGTTAATATAACTAAATCTATCAAGGAACTATAGCAGAAACTCTGTGTGTACGTGTGTGTGTGTGTGTGTGTGTGTGTGTGTTGGGGGGGATTAAAAGAACATTGAACATTCCATTAGCTCTGCTATTCCTATGCCATTAAGGCACGTGGTGTTTCAAATACAATCACTGGACTCATTCCTTCAGGGTAAACAAAGAGGCATTTAGTATTCATATTTAGCCTTAAATGCCCACATATAATTTATAAAAGTTTTCATAACATTTTTATTCTTTAAGAGGTAACATGAGTCATTCACCTAGAATTAAGTCATGTTAAAGCTAGAATGAGTCAATGCTCATCTTGTACAATCTGTTCATTTTAATAGATGAAAAATAGGTTCAGAGATAAAGGCTTGTTCAAGGTCATAAAACCAGAGGGCTTCTAGACTCTTCCACTTCCTAGTACAGCACCATTTTTGCTCTAATCCCAGTACTTCCCTTTTCCTTATTGATTGTAATTTCCAGGAATGTAGGATCTGAACTTTTGCAACTGTTTTCCCTTTCTCAAGTTATTTGAAGCTCACTAGAGAAGAAACATGATGACTGTTTGACATTTCTACCATTGAAGAAGGTGATGTTTCTCATGACAATATACATTTGCTTCTTTTCAAACCATGGAGACCAAGAGCTATGATTGTGTGGAGCCCAATAAATGAAAGCCTGCTGACAAAATGATTTAATACAGACCGTGTAAAGTGTCAATTATTAAATGTTTCATACTCAGTGATAAGGGACAAGGAGAGATAAATTACCACTTCGGTGACACATTAGAAAATATGCTCAGCAGAGATGAGGCACCTGAATTGTCAAGTTAGAAATGACCCCATTAGAAGAGTAAGAATCATGGGAAAAGAAAGAAACAGAAAAAGCCATGTTTTACCTTGAATGACAGTGTGAGAGGTTATCCTGGATTTTCCTGACAGATTTAGTAAATACAGGGCTCATTCTTTAGCAGAATTTGAGCTCTATAGGGTTATTTCTCTAGGTGACTATTTTTCTCTTATTGCCAGAATAGTTAACTTTGATTATTAATAGCATTGAGACTGATTATATTTTTTTCAAATTAGAAATGAAAATAGGCAGCATATAAACAAATGATAATCTCAGTAGCTCATATAATCCAATAATCAATATGATTCAGCTGTATAACTAATTTTATCTGTATTCAGCACTTTTAATAATTCCCATAACCTTTTTATTTATATGTTTGCATTTTATGGGGTGTCAAGGAAACAATTCCAGCTGGCTTTTCATTCCTGTTTCTTGTTAATATACACTCAACAGTAGAATATATAAGATATGGAAGATCTCTAGAGTTAATTTGGTATCTTCATAAAGAAAATTTCCATATTCTTATGCTCTAGACTAGTGCTTTTCAAAATATAAAGTACACACACATTATCTGGAAATCTTGTTAAATTTGGATTCAGTGGGTTCCAGCTGAGGCTAAAATTCTGCATTTCTAAAACTCCCCAGAGATGCAAGTTGTTTTACAGACTACAGAGTAAGTAGCAAATCAGGGCAGGGTCTCCAGACCAGAAAAACCAGCAGCACTTAAGCGGTCCTTAGGCAAATTCATGGGCTATACCAACACTTGGTGCATCTTAATCTCTACGAGTGGGCCCAGAAACCCCAGAAACCACTTACTCTCATGCTACACATTCTTCCCAAGTCTTTTTTTTTCTTTTTAATTTTCCTTTTTTCTTTTTTTTTAAACACAAATAGGCCTTAGACAAGAGCTGCATATTATGTATACATATAATTGTACATATGCTTATATAATTGTACATATGCTAATATATAAGTACTTTGCTTAAAATTCTCAAGAATCTTTAGGTTAGTCACAGTTTTTTTTTTTCTCTTTTTTAACCAATAGCTGTGGACTCAATTTAAAATGAAATTTAAAAGAAGAAAAATGTAGAGCAAGAAATTGATAAAAAATTTTAGGATTGATTCAACTTTCCTCTTTTTCCAGTATAAATTCCTCTATCACAAAGAATATCAGTTGTATAAAATTCTACTATATAAAATTTTTATATTTATAATTTATTAGGTATTAATTATGGCTGAATAAATGTCCTGATTTTATAAATTTTCTACCAAATTCAGTACCTTTTCTTCTTTTGCCTTATATTACTTTAGAGTAGGTAATGTTTTTCTATGCAATTAAATGAAAGCTTTACTTCATTTCAGAAATGGTTATTTTCCAAAGAGTCTTATTGAAATTTCACTCACCATGCATGATAAAAACATTTCTGATCTATCTACAAATATGTCATGGTAGATAAGGTAAATATTAAGCACATTATAATTATTCAGGCCCTATTTGTCTGGAATTTGGTCATTTTCTTCTAATGTCTAGAGGAGAACAAAAAAATGAAGATATCAGTGTCTGTGTCACAATAAAATAAAATAAAATACTTAACACTCTAAAATTGTCTTCAAACTTTTCTTGACATGGATGTTGGACACTGAAGAGCAAAACTTTCCTTCCATTTCTCAAATAGAGGGTTTTTTTGTTTGTTTTGTTTTTGTTTTAAAGATTTTTTTATTTATTTATTTGACAGACAGAGATCACAGGTAGGCAGAGCAGCAGACAGAGAGAGAGAGAGGAGGAAGCAGGCTCCCCGTCAAGCAGAGAGCAATGTCCGGCTCGATCCCAGGACCCTGAGATCATGACCTGAGCCTAAGGCAGAGGCTTTACCCCACTGAGCCACACAGGCCCCCCTCTCAAATAGAGTTTTAATAATGGTTATATGAAGGTGTAATACTGTGGCTGGGAAGTTTTATAAATAATACAAAGGACAAACTGGGTAGCATCAGTATGAAGATCTCAATCTACTCAATATCAACTATATGAAAATGTATTAATATCTTACTTCACAATTTTATTTTTCTAATATTTTGGAAGAATTTTTCTTATTTTGTTTTTAAAATTTAGACAAAAGTAATTTATTTTATGGCATTGTTTGCATTTATAATAGTTAAAATGTATTCTAAGAATTCTTATGAATCAGGAATACTAACTCTCAAATTTATATATATATATATATATATAAAAAACTCTCAAATTTATATATATATATATATATATATATATATATATATATATATATATCTTATAGAACAAAATGTACTCTTATCATACCATCAAAGATCATACTCCTTGGTATTTACCCAAAGAAGCTGAAAGCTTACGTCCACACCAAAAAGTACACAAAAGTACACTGAGCCTCAGTGGCTCTGTTGTTGAGCATCTGACTCTTGATCACAGCTCAACTTTTGATCTCAGGGTCATGAGTTCAAGCCCTGCATTGGGCTCCACCTTAGGCATGGAGCCCACTTAAAAAAAAAAAAAAGTGTACACATGAATGTTTATTGCAGATTTATTCATAATTACCGAAACCTGGAAGCAACCAAGATGTCCTTCAGGAGGTAAATGCATTAAAAAAAGTGATACGTGGTTCCAAACAGTAGAATATTACTCATTGCTAAAAAGAAATGAGCTATCAAACCATGGAAAGGCAGGAAGGAAACTTAAATGGCTCTTATTTTCCTGAAAAGCAAAATGCCGTATGATTCCAACTGGGTAACATTTTGGAAAAGACAACTATGGAGACAGTAAACAGATCAGTGGTTGCCGGGGCTTGGGCAAGGAGTGGGGAAGGAATAGGTGGAGCACAGAGGATTTTTAGGACAGTATACACACACACACATATATACACACATAATATACACATATTCTATCTATATAATATTATAATGATGGGTCACCATGCATGTGTCCCTAGAATACACAACACCAAGGTGAGCCCTAATGTAAATTATGAACATTGAGTGATAACGATGTGTCAGCCTATGTTCATTAGCTGTAGCAAATGTACCATTGCAATGCAGGTTGCCCACAGTGGAGGTTGTGCCTGCGTGGGGACCAGGGCATATGGGAACTCTCTGTAGGACATGGGATCATGACCTGAGCTGAAGACAGACGCTTAACCAACCGAGCCACACAGGCACCCCAATTTAAAACTGTCTTAAAAACTAAAGCTTTTCATTGAAAAAAAACATAATTAGAACTTCATGAATACAAACTTTTATAATTAATGAAGTTAATATGATGTTATTTTTGTATATATTCAGTTAAAGTTTTTAGTTTTTCAATGAACTTTCTTTGAAGCTGAAAAATCCATATAAAAAGTGCACATTAGGGACACCTGGGTGGCTCAGTGGGTTAAAGCCTCTGCCTTTGGCTCAGGTCATGATCCCAGAGTCCTGGGATCAAGCCCCACATCGGGCTCTCTGCTCAGCAAGGAGCCTACTTCCCCTCCTCTCTCTCTGCCCACCTCTCTGCCTACTTGTGATCTCTGTCAATTAAATAAATAAAATCGTTAAAAAAAAAGTACACATTATACTCTCTTTTTTTTCTCTCAAATAAAAAAAGTAAATAAAATATTATTAAAAAGGAAAGAAGCACACATTATAGTGTATGTCTTAATGAGCTTTTTAATGACATACATATCAAAAATTAAGTTATAGACTGTATGATATTGGCTTTACTTCACTAGCATTTTCAAGGGTCTCTCTCCAGCATTCCTGTCATTGGGATCCTCTGGGAAATAAATTATACTATGCTCACCTGTGAATTCTGAGGGCCCGTATTTACAGATAGAGTAAACAATTATTGAAAATGTAAGAATGAGGGCACCTGGGTGGCTCAGTGGGTTAAGCCTCTGCTTTCAGCTCAGGTCATGATCTCAGGGTCCTGGGATCGAGGCCCACATCAGGCTCTCTGCTCAGTGGGGAGCCTGCTTCCCCCTCTCTCTCTGCCTGCCTCTCTGCCTACTTGTGACCTCTCTCTCTCTGTCAAATAAATAAATAAAATATTAAAAAAAAGAAAATGTAAGAATGAACAGACACAAAATATACAATATGTTAATTATGAAAATCTCTTCTTAAACAATTGTCCTAAATAAGCTAAAAATAAGTATTACCTGTTGTTCATAAATCTTTATGGTAGAGTATCAGTGGAATAGCAAGGAAAAAGAAGTAGCATATCAAGAAATATTTTATTATTGACATTATTTAGAATTGCCATATGATAATAATGAAAAACAAAACAACCTTTATTTGCTGTTATTACTGTACTTAAATTCTCTACAGGGAATGTACTCTTTTACTACCTAAAGAAGAGATGAACCACATACACTGCCCATAACTCTGTTATGCCCCACTGGAGAGTGCCTACTCTTAAGTATATGATTATTGCATATTTAATATGTTATCATGCCATATGATATACACTTTCATATTCTATTTCATTATTAAAACATGATCACTATAAATTAAAGCTTTCTTCATGAAAATCAACCTCAAGGTAAATTGGAAATAGTTAGAAAATTATAGCTAGCAAACAGAAAGATCAAACAATTTATAAAAGTAGTGACTGTGATATTATAGTATTTTAGCTAATCTTTTAGATAAGGACTTGTTTTGTGCCTTCCTCTCACAGTCTGTCTCTCCCTCCCTCTCATTATAGTTCACAACAGTGTAAGCCTGGACATGATCAAAACATGAAATGTTCCAACCCTTAAAAAAATATCTTTTGCAGTGGCGCCTGGTGGCTCCGTCAGTTAAGTGTCTGACTCTTGATTTTGGTTCAGGTCACAATCTCATAGGTTGTGAGATCCAGCCCCATGCAGGCTCAGCCCTCTGTGGGAGTCTGCTTGAGATTCTCTCTCTGCCCCTCCCCCATTTGTGCTTGCTCTCTCTCAAATCAATAAATAAATATTTTAAAAATATCTTTTGCTGTATTGGGTTCAAAAGCAATACAGATCAATGATAACAGTCATCAACAAGCTCTTCCTCTTATGTTCTATGCACAGCCTTTTGTTTATTTATTTATTTATTTATTTGGTAAAAACATTAAATCTCTACTGTGTTTTATTATAGGATATTTATTTTTTAATTTTTTATCTTTTTTTTAAAGATTTTATTTATTTATTTGAGAGAGAGACAGTGAGAGAGAGAGTATGAGCAAGGAGAAGTTCAGAGGGAGAAGCAGACTCCCCATGGAACTAGGAGCCTGATGCGGGACTCGATCCCAGGACTCCTGGTTCATGACCTGAGCCGAAGGCAGTCGTCCAACCAACTGAGCCATCCAGGAGTCCCAATTATAGGATATTTAAAGAATAAAATTTGAAGTGTAGATTTGACCAAGGGACATATTTGTAGGCAATCCAGTTGAAATCATCTTTCATATGACAATGCTTCTTGTTTTCCATTAAGAATGATTTTTTTTCTTAAGAATTATTCGTGGTCCAAATGGCTGAAGTACAATGCATATAAAAATTTTTCTTGAGTGTCATCCCAACACTTTTTTAATCAATCAAGAAATTTCATTATTCATGGACTTATAAAGTTCATGATCATGGTTCTTTGCTCCATGAAGTACCTAAAGGATTCAAGGTGCTATGGGTAAAGTACCCCAGAGTAGTGGCTGAGAGTGTACAGTGTAGTGAAAGTAATCAGATATAATTGGGTTTAAACTCTGGTTCTTCCACTCATTAATTAGTGTTTTTTTGTAAACTTATCTAATTTCTGTATATATTAATTTGTTAAATATCTGTAAACTAGAGACATTATTAAAATACACTTCAGGCTTATTCTAAGAACTAAATAAACTGGTGTTTGTAAGATGCTTATTTTAATGTCTGGTACACAGGAACCATCCTATCAATCTTCATTAATATCAGTCATGTACTTTTTCCTGATATTATTAGTCATCTTGACAGTGTGCAAAGAAGAAAGTTTAACAGCTGATTCAAGGGAGTACAAAGAAGAAAGTACTGAAAATTATGGCTGAATGTCTCTGTTTTTTTTAGCTAATTCTACCTAGAATCATGGCCAAAGGCTTCCACACCCTAACCACTGCCTAGGTCCACTGTCAAACAACTTGTTCATATCAAACAAACAGAGACTAAAGACTTAACATGCTCCCTAAAATTATAGTCAAGGACAACTTTAAGAATAAGCCTTACTTTTCCTATAAATTTCTAGCAAGTTATGTTAATCTTCACTTCACTTTTAATTTAACATCTACTAACACTTGAAAACAAAGATTGAAAAAGCTTTTCTTTCCTGTTGGCTTAGCACCATTTTTTAATTCAGCAATCATTTAAATAAATCAGGTAAAAAAAAAAATTGAAAAAAGCGATAGTCCTTTCAACTTCCACTTTTTATTTTTTTTTTCTTGTTTTTTTTTTTTCTTTTTTTTTTGTGCTTTTTTTTTTTTTTTTTTTTTTTAAGTGCTTCCAGCCTGGGAGTAGAAATGACAACATGGTGTGTTGGAAGCGATTAATGCCTGTCTGGAGAGCACAGTGAAACATGAGTACCTTCAGTGTCACCCGGGCAAGTATTAATCAGTACCTCAGCACAGCCTGAAGTGACTTTTTGTGATAATAAAAAAGGAATTTTTCCCCAAAATGTATGTCAGAAATGTGTGTTGCAAGTATTTCTCTGGAAAGAAACAGTTTTTGATGAAAGCATTTTCTTTTTAGAGGAAATGAAACATTTTTTGATTTGACACACAGCATGTCAGTGCTGGGGTGGTTAGGAAAATATACCACTTATAACTCAAAAAATGAGTGGCAGTTGTAAATTATATCAAAGCCCATTACACAAAGAGAATGTTCTTCAAAGCTAGGTAATACCACATATATACATAAGGGTTATCAAAAACCCATTAAATTCGACCCTTTTAGGTTTTCCTGCTGAGATTAATTTCCCAACATAACATCCCCCTTTTACAAAAACCTTCCTTTCTCAGAAGCTCTTGTTCTCATGGGACCTTTCCACCATTTCTCTGATAGCCAGGGGCTAACCAGCAATCCTTCACGATCTCGTAAGGCATTTCATTTAAATTTATATTGAGAAATTTATAGTCTTATTAAGTTGTCTTCCCCTGAGATTCATTTTGCCGTGTTTCATTGGCATGTCATTTTAAATAGGTGCATTTTAAAAGCGTGCCCCATATTTTTACGGGCCATTCTACAATCAAATGAGGTTAAATCAAAACTTGAATGTTTCCATGTGGATAGCCAAAGAAGATTTTTTTCCCAA